CATGGGTCTATATGGTACCATTTTCTTTACTAAAGAACCATCTTTTTCAAGAGTGTAACGAATAGATTTAAGATGATTTCATTTGCCAAGATGTCCAGAGTAGATGTTTGCACCACTCAGGATCACAGAGACTCATTTGATTTAAAAATGCGCATCCAGGTGGCGCCATTCCTTTCTTTTGACACAGAATCGCTAAATCCACCCCTGCTGAGAGTGAGCGTACCACTAATATACTGAAACAAACTGACAGAATATATGAAGATAAAGCACTTTCTGAGGTCAAGAAGATCAAAGAAGAGCATCGAAAAGTATCTATTTTCAGTTTTGATAAAGGGAGCGGTGGACTTATTGCGATCAGAGGACTCATGATTAACTAAAAAACCCAATTATGATTTTAAAACAATCACTTTATTTCAGATCTTTATGTCTCTGATGATTCTCTTGACAACACAGATGATCTTCTGATGACCTCCAACTTACCTGAAAGGAGAACTTTAATCACAAATGCTCCCAAAAATGACACATTAATGAAATTAAAGAATTCAATTTGATCTCAAATATAATTTTCTACTTCATTAAACACAACACTATGATATAAATTTCTAAGCCAGACTAGGACCCTCTGCTTCGTGATTTGTGCTGCCCACTAACGTCGTTAAAGGATGCCTACAGAATTCTGAATTTTGTTGTGGCAAAAAAGGCTAAAGCTAATTAATGAGCTCATTGTTGAATACCAGTCAAGTTTTCTGAAGCATCGGCACATTTCCCATAACATCAGACTCATATTGGATCTGGTAGAATATAAAGACTTACTGTTTAATGCCAAGTCATCAGTTCTTTTTTTAGATTATGAAAAGCAAACCACAGCATTAGTCATACATCAGTTTGGGGAAGTTTAAAAGTCTTTCAATTTGACTAATTTTTCATTTCAGCTCTAAAACATTGTGCAGGGACGTTAGAAACGTTGTTAAAATTCAGGGAAACAAGCCTTCGTCAAGTCCTCTGTCCCCTCTGCTATTGCTGTTAACACCGCAATTCTAAATATGATCATTAACCGAAATCAGTTCAGAGGAATTACTGAAGAAGAAATTGTGAAAGAAATTCGCCGCCTGTTTTTCTGGACAGTGTCATTCAAACCTCTACAAATAATAACAAGACTCCTGAGAATCTGTATAACAGATAAAGTCTCCTACCTTGGAATTAAGATAACAGATTATTCACAAGAAATGAGTAACATAAACTTAGATCTGCGTAATGCCTCTAGTATTCTCTCCTCTCTAGATGTCCTTCTCTTGCCTTCTTCATAGAATATTACTCAGTTTAATTTGAAAGAACAAACCTTACAAAAAGAAAAAAGGATGTTATCAAAAATAAAACAGAAGACGGTAGACTAAATGTATTTCCTTTATGTAATAATGGTAGTAAATTAGGTTGAAAAATCTCTAAAATATCCTTATTGCTTATAGAATATTATAGAAAACTTTGCTGTAGTGTCCACAGTTTCCAATCATGCTAGCGAACTTCCATAAGCAGGCACTACTTTTTCTGGTCTCTTATGATAAACTACACTCCCCAGTGTTGCTTTATTTGCAATAACAGAGACCCAGAGGTGGTAAGTAATTAAGTACAAGGAGTTATTTGATCTGATGTTCAGTATTGACTGATAAAATAAAAATCTACATGTTTTCTTAGTAGAGATTCCAACAATGTCCATCTCAAATTCATGTAAAGGAAGTCAAGCATGTAAACATGTTTGGGGCTCTAGACGAGTGGATTTTTGTGGATGATGCCTGCAGTTCTAGTATAAACCATTATGTACGCTCACTTTAATGGATGTGCACCTCTAACCCTCAATATAAAGATATCTTATTTAAAAAAATCATTAGAAATGTTTTTTAAAGAAATATTTTTACTTTTTTACTTTAAGTACATTCATAAGCATGTACTTTTATACTTCTACTTGAGTAAAAAATCTAAGTCATACTTAGACTTTTACTCGAGTATTTTTTTTCTAGATTACTAGTACCTTTACTTAAGTAAAGGACTTGTGTAAAAGTAGTTTATTCTTTGAAAACTGGTGCAGGGGCCCATATTTCACTGCTAAGTCAACGGATAAATGATGAAAAAAAAAACAAAAAAGGGTCCTAATTAATTTTTTACGTGACCACTTTATATCCTCTCTTTATACCTTGTTAGTGCTCAGGCTGTTTTTGTTGCTAATGCATGTAAATGAGCTCAGTTCTGATTGGCTGTCCTGTATCGTGCCTGTGTTCAAAGAGCAATCAAGGCTGAAACACTACTTATAACTTCAACACGAGTAGGCAGGGCTCAGCTGCTGTAGGCTGAATAGGTGGACATATGTAAATGTGTGGCGTCACAAAAACAAAGAACTCAGAATTCAGAACTAGTCTGATTTTTGTGGCATATGAGAGATACATGAAGGAACCTTTAGGAGGCAGCGTTTCATACAAACAATCAATTTGGACATGAATGGGTGCCTTGCTGACTCTGACTACTGTATGACTGTGTCTGAAACTCATCGCTGTCTGATGAAAAAAGTATCCAAAATAGTAACTTTACAGGAGAAAGTAAAAACGCTCTTGACCTTTAGTGGAAGTTAAAGGAAAGAGGTTTTATTCCAAGTAATTTTTGGAGCCTCTCTTTTGGTCCATTCATTAAGAAATTTTCACACAATGCACTGATAGAAATAAAGGTACTGTGCAGGTACATTTTCGTTCATCAAGGTACAAATAATGTAAATGTTCCCTCAAAGGTACAACAGTGGTTCTAAGGTATAACTGTGAACCTTAAATAAGTTTTTTCCGGGTGAAAAGTTCGTATTTATTCCTTATTCCTTCAGTCAGGGAACATAACTGAACCATAATCCACTGAAATGATATGTTCTAAGCTGTACTGACTCCACACACCCCGTCTCGTCTCCAGGCTTTTATTTTACTGTTCTGTTTTAAAACATTCAGTTATGAAAAGGTACAAATACGAACTTTTCACCTGGAAAAACTTATTTAAGGTTCACAATCAGACTTAAAACCACTGTTGGAGCTTTGAGGGACATTTACATTGTTTGAACCTTTTTTTCTAAGAGTGTAAAATATTTTCTCCTCTATATAATATTTCTGTAGTGTTGTATTGTGGCAATCTATAATATGTGTAGTATGCTGTGATAAACTATAGTATAGTATGGTAAATAGACCAAATTTACTGTAAAATTGTACAGAAATCTAAAAAAAATCTGAACTGTCACTGGGGTGGTACCCTCAAGGACACAAATTTTACCATAATCCATTTAAATGATATTTTAATGGTTGCATTGGCTCCACACATCCTCTCTTTAAATTTTACTGTTCTGTTTTAAACATTAGATAATTAGAAAAAAAATTAACGTTTCGTTTCCCTGGGTTAAAACATATTTAAAGTGCACAATTGGACTTTAAAACCATTCTTGCACTGTTAAAGGTAAAGTTTACATTGTTTGTACCTCGATGAATGAAAAATGTTCCTGCACTGTACTTTTCTTCTGACTATGTAGTATTTTTGTTCATATATGTAATCAGTATCTTGTTTTAACAAAGATAATTAATGACAGTATAGAAGTTATGATAAGCTAAAGGCTCTCATCATAGTGTTTGGCAGGGAACGTTTAGTATTAATTATCTTGTAAGTATGTGAGTGCAGTGCTTTGTGTATATTTGGTGGTCATTCACCCTCTGACCGCTACAAAATGAAAAAAAATCCCAAAAACCTGAGCCAGTGTTGGCAACCTCATCGCTGACCCTTCCCTGTAGTCTAATAATCTATATATAGTACTTCTGTAGTGTCCTGAATAGTAAACTATAAGAAATGTCCATATTTACTGTAAGATTCTGTAGAAGGGAATTCCACCAACTTTCACCATCAAAAAGTACCATAAAAATATTAGTAACACTTTATTTGGAGTGGTCCTTTGTAGAAGAGTAATAAACTCTTAATGGAGTATCAGTAACACAGTAACATCATTTCAGTGAAGTAGCAGTAATGCAGCATCTGAATACACTGAAGTAAATATCTTGAAGCTGTATTGTTGATATGTTACATGAAGTAGAATTTATATGGTACTTCCATTAGGCCCTAATCCTAACCCTGGCCCTATTCCTAACCTTAACCTCAACCCAAAACCTAATCCTAACACTCACCCTGGCCCTAATCCTAACCCTAACCTCAACCCAAACCTAATCCTAACACTCACCCTGGCCCTAATCCTAACCCGAACCTTAACCAATCCCTAATCCAGTGTATCTCCAGGTACAGGATGGTGTCAGTGTGTCTGTATCCACTTGTCGAGGATGTTGAGTGTTTATTTCATCTAAAAAGGAAAACTCAAAATAAAGTGTCACCAAAATTAATTTGAGTTGAGTGATTCAGAGTGGTTTGGTGTGAAATGGTTCAGATGCCTTTACAGTGGTGGTGATAGGAACCAGGGGTCGCCATGACTACAACACAGATATAGACATTTTATTTACTATCCAGAACCACCAGTGAATCTACACGAGTCTTCTGAGTTTATGTGGAATATTAATGATGGGAAAATAGGAAAATCTGAAATAATAAGTTTTCTTTTGGGGACTATTCTGCCTCACAGCGCCCTGCATATATTCCTCCACCATGAATGGAGCTTAAAAACATTTTAGATTTTGCATCATTTAATTATGGAGAAATTTTTAAAAATTGAGTTCCCCATTCATAGTGATGCAGAAGCCAAAATAACCTCTCAGTATTCTTTTTTTGGTAAGAGCTGTTTTTGTAAAATGTTGGCCCTGCGAGGTTTGTTGACCTCTTATCCATGACTGTCCTGGCTTGTAGCGGGAAGCCTCATTAGGCCCCTGTGGGCTGGAACTGTCTTTCTTTTTTTGTTTTGTTCTCTTGGTGACTAAGCACGTTATTATTTCTCCCTCCCATCCCTGCCCTCCTTCCCGATCACGTTACGAAAGTGAAACTGGGCAGAGGGGAGAGTGGGGGTGAAAATGGCATTTCCTAGAAGCTCTGAAAAGCCAACGGTGGAACTCCAGCCCTCCACTTCTGCTTTATCTTAAGGGCTTTTACTGCTGCTCAGCTGGAGCTCTGCATAGTACATATAAGCTCCTAATCCTCTTCACCACCACCACCACCGCCGTCGGGATGGAGAAGCGTTATGTCTTGCTCGTGACTCTGGTCTGCATGAGCCTGGCTCTGACCCTCCTGGTCGTGCAGTGGCGTCACATCCGGTCAGTGACTGTCGAGCTGATGGATCTGGAACGCAGGGTCAGAGCTCTGCAGAAGGGGCAGGAGTGGTGGCAGGAGGGGATCTGCTGCCCCTCAGGCACGTGCTGCGGGGTAGGTGAGTGCATATTTGAGCGTCCATCTGTTTGTCCGTCTGTTTAAAGCTACACAACAAGACCCCTCAGTGTTGCATTCACTCTTACAGCGTTTCCAAGTGTAGCTGAGCAGAACCGAAACACTATAGTTGTGAATTAAACACTGTAAGAGTTGATCTGAAAGTGAATTCAGTACCTTAAGGGATGCATTCAACACTCTATAATGCTGTAAGAGTGAACGCAAGAGAGTTAGCTCCACGCTGTAAGAGTTAATTCAGTGCTAGACAGATAATTCAGTACTGTGTCAGTACGTCCTGTGATCTAAGAGTAAACTATAAACTGTAAAAGTGAAACACACATTGAGCAGGAAGTTCAACTTTGTTAAAGATTGACTTTCACACTGTACGAGTGAAGTTAGCATCACAGGATTGAATGCAATACTGCAATTAGTAATCAAGTAAATTCAGTGTTTAACAGGGCAAAACTGAATGAATGTAACATTGTAAGGTGTTGTTACTGAATGCCATAAGTTTTATTTATGTGATATATCAGGAGTGCACTGCACATTGTAGGATTAAATGCAGTACTGTAATTATTTTTTTAATATAATAAGAGTGAATCAACACTGCAAAAGCACACTGAAATAGCACATTATAAGATAGTTCAATACCATATGAGTGAACTTAACGCCCATTAACAACATTTTTGAACTCAAGGCTCTGAGTGTTTTAATAGATCTCACTCAGTACTATAAGAGGGATTCAGTACAGTAAGAGAGTTAATTCAATACTATAAGAGCGATTCAGTACTGTAAGAGAGTTAATAAAGTACTATAAGAAAGTTATTTTGGTACTGTAAAAGTTTTTCAGTACTGTAAGAGAGTAAATTAAGCACTGTAAAAGTGATTCAGTACTGTAAGAGAGTTAATTCTGTAATGTAATAGAGTTAATTCAGTGCTGTAAGAGTGATTCAGTACTGTAAGAGGGTTAATTCAGTGCTGTAACAGTTAATTCAGCACTGTCAGAGAGTTAATTCAGTACTGTAAGAGTGATTTAGTATTGTAAAAGAGTTAATTTATCACTGTAAGTGTGATTCTTTACTGTTAGAGAGTTAATTCCATAATGTAATAAAGTTACTTCAGTACTGAAAGAAGAAGAAGTACTGTAAGAGAGTTAATTTAGTACTGTACGAGAGTTAATTCAGCATTGTAAAAGTAATTCAGTTCTGTAATAGAATTATTTCATTACAGTATGAGTGATTCAGTACTGTAGGAGGGTTAATTTAGGACTATAAGAGAGATTCAGTACAGAAAGAGTCAATTCAGTATTATAAGTAGGATTCAGTACTGTAAGAGAGTTAATTCAGTACTGTAAGAGAGCAAATTCAGTACTGCAAGAGAAATTCAGTACTGTAAGAGTGATTCAGTACTATAAGAGAGTTAACTCAGTACTGTAAAAGTGATTCAGTATTGTAAGAGGGTTAATTCAGTACTATAAGAGAGTTAATTCCGTACTGTAAGAGTGATTCAGTACTGTAAGAGTTAATTCCGTACTGTAAGAGTGATTCAGAACTGTAAAAGGGTTAATTCAATACTGTAAGAGTGATTCAGTACTATAAGAGAGTTAATTCAGTACTGTAAGAGTGATTCAGTACTATAAGAGAGTTAATTCAGTATTGTAAGAGTGATTCAGTACTATAAGAGAGTTAATTCTGTACTGTAAGAGTGATTCAGTACTATAAGAGAGTTAATTCCGTACTGTAAGAGTGATTCAGTACTATAAGAGAGTTAATTCAATACTGTAAGAGTGATTCAGTACTATAAGAGAGTTAATTCTGTACTGTAAGAGTGATTCAGTACTATAAGAGAGTTAATTCCGTACTGTAAGAGTGATTCAGTACTATAAGAGAGTTAATTCAATACTGTAAGAGTGATTCAGTACTATAAGAGAGTTAATTCAATACTGTAAGAGTGATTCGGTTTTCAGTGGAGTTTTGCTGGAAACCACTTTTTTCCTTCTAAAATTCATAACATTTTGTCACATAGTAAGAGGTCATTTTTAAATATTTTTTAAAGTATAATATACCAATGAAATATCAAAGCAATGTTAAAAGAAAATGATGGGTTTCTCTAACTGCCCCCTTCTGTGTTAATAATAACTTAAAAATGCAAAGCATTCCACTGACAGGCTTCAGCAGGACCCCTCCACCAGCCTTCCACACATACCGTTTCCCTGACCTTTAACTGACCCAACACAAGCTCCTTTGATTTGGGTGGCCGAACAACCGAAATATATACAAGGTCATTTTGACCGATTTCTATTTGAAAATGAACAATTTAAAAGACAAAGTCTCTGTTTCTCTCTCTCTCTATCTCTCTCTCCCCCAAAGTGTCAGGTGTGGGAGAATTCAGCATTTGGAGGCAGTAGAGGAAAGAGAGATGTTTCATCTCCAAGGAAAATCAGACAGAAAAGGCAGAGTGAGTCACTTCCTCTGAACACTCTTAACATCTTGACACACGTTCCTCTGAAAACAGCTTTAAAAAGAGCTTTTAAGTTGAACTTGAATTCTGCATGATTTAATAGTTAAGATGTAAACAGAGAGGTTCAGAGTCGTTTGGTGTGAAACGCTCCTTTCTCGAGAAACTTACCAAGTCAGAATTGTTCACAGTGGTGGTGATAGGAACCAGACGTCCGCCTCTAAATGCTCCCTTACAGAAAATGGCTATGAATTCGTTGCTCAGTGAGACATTGTTTCACAATAAGTTTGAGAAGATTTTGCCCTAAAACACATTTTTCACACCTGTTCATGGTGGAGGGATACATACACTGATTTCCATCACCAACATTCCATATAAACTCAGAAGACTCGTGTAGGTTCACTGGTGGGTCTGGATAGTAAATAAAATGTCTATATTTGTGTTGTAGTCATGGCGACCCCTGGTTCCTATCACCACCACTGTAAAGAAATCTGAACCATTTCACACCAAACCACTCTGAATCTCTCTGTTTATATCTCAAACACTGAACTATGTAGAAATGTTGGAAAATCTGTGGAATTCCCCTTTAAGCTGCATCAATCCTGAGCTGTGTTTTCGTTTTGTTCCTCAGCAGAGCGGCGCTCCTTTCTGCACCTGATTCCTGCCTCCGCACACTCGAACGGTATGGTCGTCAGCACACCTGCGACTGCACCTGTTAGCTGGAAGCCACACTTAGTTTAATTACATTTTATATCCTATAAAAGCTTTTGTAATAAAATGTTCAGGAAAACTGTAAACTGTCTCTGAATGCTGGTTTCCTCTCTCGGTCCACATTGCCGTGTCTCTTGTTTCGCTTCTCAGATGAACGTGATTTGACGGTTCTCACCTGGGCGCTTGGGCAGAGCCAAGGGGCGGGGCTACAGGCATCTGGGGAAACCATCACTGTTGTAACTGAGGGCAACTACTTTATTTACAGCCAGGTCAGCGCCTGTTTACCTGCCAATAGTGGTGCAAATCTCTGGCCTACAGAAGTCCGGAGAGGCCATGAGCTGTTGCTGTAATTTTCTGGATTGTTATCTTGAGATAACAAGATAAATAACTCATTATTTCAAGATAACAATTTTGTTATTGAGATAACAAGACAAATAACTCGTTATCTCGAAATAACAACTTTGTTATCTTGAGATCACAAGATAATTAACTCGTTATCTTAAGATAACAATGTTTGTTATCTCAATATAACAAGATAAGTAACTTGTTGTCTCAAAATAAGAATCCAGAAATGTGTAACTACCTCATGGCCTTCTGTACTGGACTTCTGTACTGACCTCACAACCATTTGATTTTTTAGGAAATCTGTACTATCATTCTAATTCATATTAAGACAGCCTGTTATATTTTAGTGAATGTTATTGTAATTATATGTTATGCATTGATCTGAAGGTGCCAGTTCAACTGCTTTGTTTTTGGAATGATGTTTTAGAATTGATGATAAAACTATAATTATTGTTTATATTAGTCGTTTAACCCCTAAATGCTTACCTGCGGACCAAAACCTCGCCTGTACCTGCTCCAGGTGCTGTACAAGGACGCCACCTGGGTGATGGGACACATGATCACCAAGCGGCTGAAGGGGGCGGAGACAAAACTGATGAAATGTCTAAAGAGCATGCCGAGTAACGACAGCGTCAACACGTGCTACACTGCAGGTGAGCTTTCATTACTGTTTTCTTCTCCTTCTCTCAAAACAGGGACGCTGCTCCTCCTACAGCTTTACATCCACACACATCACACTTCTCACTGTACTCCCACTGCAGCGGGGAGGAGGACGGCTTGGGCTTCTTATGTGTTATTAGACTTATTGCCCATTTCCTTACAGTTAATATTAAAGTTTAAACAGTTTTTATGATTCAAATTCTAACTGGTGCTTATAAGCCATTGGGATGTTGTCAGTGCAGACTGTAAATTATGAATCTTTATTATGTAATGAGTGCAGAGTGTCACTTATGAGCCACTATGATGTCATCAGAGCGGACTGTCAATCATGAGCCTTTATGATGTAAAGAGTGCAGACTGTCAATCATGAGCTGTCATTAGTACAGACTGTCAGTCATTGTCCATTGCAATGTCATCGGTGCAGACTGACATTTATGGTCCATTGTGATGTCATCAGTCCAAACTGGCACTTCTGGTCCATTGTGATGTCATCGGTGCAGACTGTCAGTCATTGTCCATTGCGATGGCATCGTTACAGACTGACATTTATGGTCCGTTGTGATGTCATCAGTCCAAACTGGCACTTCTGGTCCATTGTGATGTCGTCGGTGCAGACTGCCAGTCATGAGCCATTGTGATGTCACCGGTGCAGACTGTCACTTATGGTCCAGTGTGATGCCACACACTGGCAGACTGTCACTTATGGGACATTGTCTCCTATGGACAATTGTGATGTCATCATTGCAGTCTGTAACTTATGAAGCATTTTGATGTATCAGTGCTGTCTCCCACTTGTGGTCCATTGTGATGTCATCCGTGCAGGCTGAAACTTGAGAGGCATTGTGGTGGGACATTATGATGTCATCAGTGCGTCCTGTCACTCCCACAGGCTCCAGAGGCCTTCAGAACTCTAGCTTTGTAACTCCTGGTCATTAAAATATTTTCACAGTTCTAGAAGGCTTTTTATCCTGAGGCCTTCAAGCTTATCTTCAAGCTTCCTTTTCTGTTTCTTTCTCATGTCCTTGTAAAGAGATTCGGTGGCTGGGGACTTGGCCACAAACCCTGGGCTTGACCCCATGATAAGTGTCCTATTGCCACAGCAAAGCGCTTAATCTGAAGCAGCTCTGTTTGACGTTTCCTGTTACAGAGGAAAAAAAAACACTGTGAATCAGCGAAATGACACGAGCACAGCGAAAACAATCAGACAGCTGTTATATGTGCACTCTGGGACGTAACTGTGCATTGATGCGTTCTATAACAGCAGAGTTTCACAACTTTTAATATGAATAAGAAAAGGCCTCTCATCTCAACTACTACAGTAAAAACAACAGATTTCCTGGTAATCATTTCGCTGGTTAGAGCTCTATGTTTATGTTGATGTGTTTTCTTTTTAAGGCGTCCACTTCCTGGAGTCCGGATCAGTTCTTGAGCTCTCCATCCCTCGCAAATCTGCTGAACTCATCCTCGTTGCTCACGCCACGTTCCTGGGGATCTTCAGTATCTGAGCTCTCTGCTTTCCCTCTCTCGTGTCTTTATTTAGAAACCTCACTATACTATGTTGGCTAAAGCCCTGCTGGAGCTGGATCAGTGTTATTAGAGTAGGTCGGGTGATGTCATTTGTAAAGGATTCGACAGGCCGATTTGGATAGGATAAAGTATCTGTGTAATTTCCCCAAACTGGCTCAGATAGCATGGATCGAAACGCTCAGTTTAGCGTTAAAATTGTGATTAAACAGTGATTTCAGACACCAAAAACAAATGTCCAGTTAATATCAGATGGAATAGCACTAACAAATGCTGCCTAACACTACAGAAATCGCTCTGCCCTGCGAGAGGAAGCTTTAGATATTTCATTTTCATTCTTCTAATAAACCCATCAGCAATTTTTTTGATTACGGTCATCCTGTGCTGAGCTTGAGGATAAAGGAACTGCGCAAAGAGCTCCATGTTAGCGGTTAGCTTCGTCTCCTAGTCAGCAAAAAACAGAGGTGCTGACAGTTTACAGCCAAAAAAATGTTAAACTCACACAAAAATGCATGAAAAAATACTTCAAAACCAGTTAATTTTAACCTTAATATGAAATTGTACAGCATTTAACATGAAATCAGTAATGAGCTTCTTACATTATGTTATCTGCCGTTTTGAAAATTTGCAGATAAGCATTTAAGATGGTGCTGGAGTGACACAATTGGCCTTTCAAACACACAAGCGCAATTTCTTATCACTGCTATAAAGAACCAAAAGCTTTTTTATGATCCCTGTCAAAACTTTAGGAAACACCTGGACAAAGAAACTCTTCCAGTGAAATACTTACGTGATTAGATTTGAATGTGTTTCTTATTTTCAAACTTGCAGAGCTCACACAAACTCAGTGATGCTTTCAGAGTATTAACATTTTTCAATGTGTTATATATGATAGGACCCATGCAGTCAGAGAGGCCAATGAATAGCAGCGATATTGTAACTATTCCTCATACAGATTTTTTAAAAACCGGTTTACCTTTATAGGCTCAGCTTAACTGCTTCAGTATTCTACAAAAGCAGAACCATGTACAGCCAGTAAAGCAGAGTAAACTGGGTTATCTGTGCGTGTCCAGCCTGAATGCATATCCATTTACCAGCTAAGGTCAGTCGTGAACAATGCAGATGGGCAGTGGCTGAAATGTATGCCAATCAAAGTGTTGATAACTGATCGGACGTGTGGGCCTGTTCAGATTCCAGCTGCATTATTAAGTAGCACAGTTTATTCATTTGAAATACTTTTAAAAACCCACCAAAATCATGACAGACCAGCCCAAACTTATGTCCACCCACCAAAGCGCTTCCCCCCCTGCCAAATCCAACCAGATCCACCCAATCTGGCAACCTTGTGTGATGTATGTTAGCAGGATTGGCTATAACAACGACTGACGTGGCAGATCCATACTGGATTAAAACCACAGATCTCGTGAGTAACCGCTCAAGCTACAGCACCTCCCAAGTCAGACTCACCAGCTCCAGCAGGGCTCATGTGGGCCTTCAGTAACGTCAGCAGAGCTGATTTCACAATGCAGGGTTTTACAGTATAGCTATAGTGACCAAACTGCACAGAGACGTAACTAACCAATCATAATGAAACTAAACACAAAAAAAAAATCAGTGACTATATATAGAAGGGGAAATCCACTGATTTTTCAAAATTTCTACATACTTCGCTCGTTGAAATTGAGAGTGGTTTGGTGTGAAATGGTTCAGATGTCTTTACAGTGGTGGTGATAGGAACCAGGGGTCGCCATGACTACAACACAAATATAGACATTTTATTTACTATCCAGAACCACCAGTGAACCTACACGAGTCTTCTGAGTTTATATGGAATGTTGATGATGGGAAAATATTCCCATAAACTAGTGGAAAATCTGAAATAATAAGTTTTCTTTCGGGACTACTGAATGTATTTAAATGCAAAAATTTTCTCAAAACTATCATCAGTCATCAGGCAGTGAATTCATAACCATTTCATGTAATAACTTGCTGTGAGGGAGCTTTTAGAGGTGGACGTCTGGTTCCTATCACCACCACTGTGAACAGTTCTGACTCGGTAAGTTTCTCTAGAACGGGGCGTTTCACACCCAACCACTCTGAACCACTCTGAACCACTCTGAACCACCCTGTTTACATCTTAATCACTTCAATACGCAACAATTTTGACAGAATTGTCACCTTTAATTAATAAAATGTGAAGCTGATTGCTCTCCTCGTTAACATATTTGAGTTAAAGTGAAAGTGTCAACATGTGAAACTACTCAAAGTACAAATCCATCAAAGTTGTACTTGTGGGGGAGACAATGTAAACACTCATCTGCGACATATATACATTATTCTCTCTCTCTTTCAGAAATCAGTGCACGCAAAGTTGTAAAAAGGGCTGCACACCACTTAGCTCAGGTTCTTTGTAAGTCTCGTGTAACACTTAACGTACAGCAGTCACACACACGGCTTTGTATTAAAGTGTTAAAACGGTCCGGGGTGTGTTTGCATTGTTTGTTCTCATCATTCATCCATTAACTGAATAAAACATGTTTGAGTTTCATACTAAATGTGGTGATGTTTGATCTTCTGCACTCCACAGAGATACAACAGCGACACCCAGCGGCCAAACACACTCACATTCAGCTACTGAAAGGGCAGCCTTCATTTTAGTCATTTTCATCACCAGGTGGCGCAGTGCCGCCTTTAAGTGTAAATTAAAGGTTGTATATTATGTATACATACAATATATAATCATATATAGAACTCATAACTTATACACAGCACAGAATGTTTCTAAAGCAAAAGTTTTAAAGTGTTTATTGTACCAGAATGTCAGTGTCTACATTCTTCTTCAGAAATCTTCTCTTATAAACCAGAAATCTGTATGTATACAAGTTAAAATAATAAGTGATATTTTTTATATAAAATTGTATTTTTTCAAGTACTTCAAATCTGTATGTTGTAGGAAATGTTATAAAATAAAATTTAAAAAAATCGGTGAAAGACAAAAGGAAATCGAGATATTATATAGATATATAATTAAACATGGAATCATAGAGTTACAGAAATGATGCACTAAAATTAGCATAAAATCATAAAAAACAGCCAACAAAGTGTTCTCTGCGGAGGATTCGTTCAATTATTTGAACTTACAAAAGCAACAAAGCATGCCATTTTAGCAAGGGTGCCCAAACTTTTGCAACTGTATATATGTATCTGCAGTACTGATCATTTCCAGTTAAAACAGCCGTTAATTTACTCATCCTGGAAAAAAAAAACAGAAAACAGATTAAACACAAAATCACACAGAATCCTCAACAGCTAAATCTACTCAGCTGTTTAGTGTTCAGTGTGTCTCTCTTTACCTTTATTCCAGCTTCCGTTCTTTTCAGGAGACTCACTTTTAGTTCCTCAAAGAATCTGCAGACGCACCTCCAAAGTTCAGTCTTAGAAGCTGGTTGATCATTTTCTGAAGTAATCAAACACATTCAGTGATTCAATTCTATGTATATATACACCGATCAGGCATAACATTCTGACCACCTCCTTGTTTCTACGCTCATTGTCCATCTTATCAGCTCCACTTACTATATAGGTGCACTTTGTAGTTCTACAGTTACAGACTGTAGCCCATCTGTTTCTCTGATACTTTGTTAGCCCCCTTTACCCTGTTCTTCAGTGGTCAGGACCCCCATGGACCCTCACAGAGCAGGTACTATTTGGGTGGTGGATCATTCTCAGCACTGCAGTAACACTGACGTGGTGGTGATGTGTTAGTGTGTGTTGCGCTGGTCTGAGTGGATCAGACTCAGCAGTGCTGCTGGAGTTTTTAAACACCTCAGTGTCGCTGCTGGACTGAGAATAGTCCACCAACCAAAAATATCCAGCCAGCAGCGTCCTGTGGGCAGCGTCCTGTGACCACTGATGAAGGACTAGAGGATGACCAACACAAACCGTGCAGCAGCAGATGAGCTATCGTCTCTGACTTTACATCTACAAGGTGGACTGACAAGGTAGGAGTGTCTAATAGAGTGGACAGTGAGTGGACACAGTGTTTAAAAACTCCAGCAGCACTGCTGTGTCTGATCCACTCGTACCAGCGCAACACACACTAACACACCACCACCACGTCAGTGTTACTGCAGTGCTGAGAATGACCCACCACCCAAATAGTACCTGCTCTGTGAGGGTCCATGGGGGTCCTGACCACTGAAGAACAGGGTAACAAAGTATCAGAGAAACAGATGGACTATAGTCTGTAACTGTAGAACTACAAAGTGCACCTATATAGTAAGTGGAGCTGATAAAATGGACAATGAGCGTAGAAACAAGGAGGTGGTCAGAATGTTATATATACAATGGAGATAGGAGATTTTGTTCCAACAGCAGCGATATGTGTGTATATACAGATATAGATAGGTTACTGTGTGTTTGAGTGTGCCTGATTACCTGCTGTCAGATCTGGAAAATGTTTTGTGTATGAGCAAAAAGCCCCTACAGCAGGTTAAACTCTGCTATTCTACATTTCTAATTCTACTGTACAAATATTTGTATCCACATATTAAAACCAAAAAAAAAAGAAAACAATGAAATGAAAAAGTGCTTTGTTTCCTTATTTTTGACCTTTTTGGTCATTTTCCCAGCCCAACGCCTTACACAGAAATAAACTCTCGTCCAGGAGAAGAATATCTGGGGTCAAACGCTCACGTCCAGCTGCCCCGACGTTCCAGGCTCCCCATAAATTCTTCATTTTTAATCAGCACGTATTGTTTCGTTTAGCTTTTTCCCATCATCTTTGAGTTTGTGAGTTTCAGAGTCATCAGTTTTCACTGTGTGTCGTCTGGCACTATGAGTGTGTGTGTGAGAGTGTGTGTGTGTGTCCTTGCGTCCAAATTAAAACAGGATAAATTATATATGTAAACACATAAAATGTCTTCATATCAAAAAATCTACAGAAACTACACAGACGAAGTCTAAAGTGGTGATTCCCCTTTGCAGTAAAATAAAGCTTTACTGATCGTTCAACACAGTTTTAACAATAAACGATTGTAAAAGCTGGAATTAATGTCATTCAGAGTGTTGGTCACACACTGTTGCCATAGCTGGTAGCTAATGAAATAGCAAAGAAGAGAAAGATTCAAGACGAAGAGAGAATTTATGGATGAATGAACACTCATTTGCATTTTTATGCTGTCCTACTGCTTTCCCGATATGTTTAATCTGCAGCAACACACTGTCAACCACCAAAAAGTCCACCAAAAACACTGAGAGACATTTTACAAGAAACTGTTCTACTGTTGCTGTAACGTTTCCTGCCAGAGATGCGAGAAAAGCAATAGCTGAGCTAAAGCTTAAAGCAGAGCAAAGTAAGTCTGAGTTTTTGTTTATATTATATTTGTTAGCCTATATTAGTAGATCAGCACATACGGAGACATATTTACAGCCAAGATGGTAAAACATTAACTTTCCCAGCAACCAAACAGCCAATAGGTACAACCTTTTTCAGGTGTTTCTGATCAGGAAATCAAAAAAAAAAATAAGTGAGCAAAACAAAACTGCAGTTTACAAAACTGATTAAAAGCTGCAGAGAAAATGTGACCCCTAACAACCACCTGGAAGAGCTGGTCGACCCCAAAACAGCCACCATCAGATAAACAGCACTTAAAGCTTTCATCTCTGAGAGAGAGGAGAAAATCAAGCTGAAATCAAGTCAAATCAAATCAAGATCTGAAAACATCCACAGGTGTTTCTGTCCATCCTTCCACTGTGAGAAGACGACTCAGCGCTGTGGGTCTGAAAGGATGTGTAGCTGTCAAGAAGAACCTCACTGAGAAAAGGAGACGGACACATCAAACAAGGAAGCTGAACGATGGACTGACCACCCCAGAGTCCAGACCTCAACACCACTGAATGTGTTTGATTACTTCAGAAAATGATCAACCAGCTTCTAAGACTGAACTTTGGAGGTGTGTCTGCAGATTCTTTGAGGAGCTGAAAGTGAGGGTCCTGAATAGAATGAAAGCTGGAATAAAGGGACAGAGTGACTCGCTGAACACTGAATATGTTTTTCCTGATACTAAAAAATGAATATTGTATCATATTCAACATCAGCGCCGATCAGAAGTAGAGCACACACACACACACACACACACACACACACACACACACACACACAGAACAGCAGGAAGCTGTACATCATCAGTGGAGTGTGTGCGGTTACAGGAGCTCCAGTGCATTGCCAGGTCAGGAAAAGAAAGGGAGAGAGAGAGAGAGAGAGAGAGAGAGAGAGAGAGAGAGAGAGAGAGAGAGAGACGGCGTCTTCCTCCTATTCTGCTCACAGTGGCCTTTATTGTGACGGGGTCAGGGCCTCGCCAGCACTTCTACTCACACAGGATAGCTGTGTTTGTCATTACTCATGTAAGACTGAATTAAAGTGTGGCTGAGTGTGTGTGTGTGTGTGTGTGTGTGTGTGTGTGTGTGTGTGTGTGTGTGTGTGTGTGTGTGTGTCCTATTTTAAAAGGTTTATGTAAGTGAAAATAAGGGAAATGTCTGAAATAATGGCTTGAAATAAATATACACTGTGCTGTGTGGACTGTCGTATTAATTATTAATTGATTTAAAATGAGCAAAAGAAATTTCACTAATCAATCACTGTATAAACTTCAGATCTCTCACTAATCAATCACTGTATAAACTCC